TTCAGGTTAGGATGAATCACCGGTCCACATTGTATTGAGTTCAAGTCGTTTATAGGGCCATAGTCCCTTTAATGCATATGTCTCTAGAGACATGTGTACCATTTGTGTCCCTTCGATGATCATCTCTCCGTAATGTTTTCTGCTGCACTTGGCCCTCTAACATTGAAACCACAGTGAACGCCTCTTTGCTTCTCCACTTTAATAAATAAAATAACGCAATTCTAAATGTATCAACTCCATCTAAGATAAACATATGCTACCATCCTATCCTCATCTTAAACAAGTATGCATCATTTATTCAATTGGAGACATAAAATAGATTACTAAGATATTATAAAAATAAATACATGGAAGGATATAAACCCTCACAGAAAATATGTCAATAAGCCAACACATTATGTTCCAAACTCATAACATAGCAGATGTATGGCACTGATATGGCTCATGTCTCAATCACAACTTAACTCCAGCCAAGTGCACACAGTAAATGTAAAATTGAGTGCAGTTGCCATAGTGCATTAGAAGCTCAGTGAAGTTCAAGTGTAATGACCATACAGTCCCAACTCTCCATCTCCTCCTTGGATTTGTACTACTCGCTTGATCTGTAAGAGGCAGTTTTCTTTATTAACTAATTCAGCACAACTCATTCTTTGTGGTACATTCACGTTGTGTCTGCTGCCACTAAGCTTCCTAAAGAATAGCCAGTCAGTTAAATGTTCACTCCTCAACCACAACCTTCATTTGAATATGCCTGCAGTGGATCTGAACCAGGGTTTCAGAAGGAGAGAAACTGCCACTGAAAAAGGATTCTTGTGAGTTGTCTAAAGGTTAGTTAATCCAATCCATTCAATGTGTAATCAACCAGCCATATCTCTTCCTGTTAATTGCTTGATCCTCCCGTAAAGGCATTTGCATAAAGGAAAGAGACACATTCCGCTGATTACTTGCAAGGTGTGCCTCAGATTACACTGTGCGTCTGCTTCCGCGCTGGTGCACCTCGCCTGAGAAAAGGTGGGAAAGACTTGAGTGAGCGTCTCCCTCTGCAGCCTGCAGGCTACACACATGTGGATTTACAGTATACTTATACTGAGCTGCATATTAAAACCAATCATCCACGCTTAATTTAGTGTGATTACTCTCTGAATGCAATACAGTTGCCGGTGTTGTTAAATCCACTGTGTGGACTGACTCAAATAAATAGCATGAAGATTAACCTTTTTCTAACTCAGGTGATAAATGCATGTATATCACTATTATTTTGAGGGCAAATTTGCATTGGAATAATATTATCCTGATATATATTTATGATTTTTTGTACATACTATATGTTGAGAACAGAAGAGGATACGTTTATGATGCTTTTGATCAAAGCTCAAATTAAAGATCCCAGTTCAAAGGCTTCACAATTATCACGTAGCTGTTTCATTCAGTTATGTAAGGATCCAATTGTTTACATTCAAAACACTTACATTAAGACGCAAATCAAGGTGAACATATTTATAAATGTTTTCAGGAATACTGTATGCACTCATCACTTATCAACCGACTCTAGTGTTTGCAGTAATAATACATCAAAATCCATCCAACTGAGCTAAGGAACATTTCTGCTGCAGTTTCTTTTTTTGGGGGGGGGTATACTGTACATGCAAACTTTGTCATTATTGTAGTGTATGCATCATATTTTGTTGTTGTGAAAAGCAGAAACCTTTTATATATTATTTGCAGGCACAGTTTTGCAACTGAACCAGGGTTTCAGAAGGAGAGAAAACATGCAGTGTTACATCCTAACATTTTATTCCGTTTTTTACTCTTAAATATGAAAAAAATATATATAAAAGATGTGTTTTTAGTTGACACCCGTTTGTCCGATACAAACAGGTGTTCGAGGCTTCATTGGGATGCAATGCAGACCAAATGCAGGGTGTAGCATTACTCTTGCCAGCAGTTCAGCAAGGACACACAGGTAATTTAGGTACTGATTAGCTTGTCTTTTGGTGTGTAGGAAACATGTTGTCCATCTCCTAATTAGATGTACAACAGGAGGCACAGTCACTTGTTAGTGGTGCTCCTGTACGCAGCATGCTCCTATTTCCTCTCTCCAATTAATAAGAGGTGCAGTCCGGCATTTTCACCGTAGAATCTGAGATTGTTATGTAAATATTTTTCCATTGCATACAGTATGTAAGAAAGACATACCAAGTTGGGGCACTTGTGTTAGCATAACCATAACTAAGAATGCTGATTCCAGCCTGTGGCAGACCAGAAAGGGAAAATAAAACGACAGAGAAACTTTCCTTCCTACCTCTCCAGAATCAAGCTGGTAACATGTGATCTGACTGCACATGTGCAAGATGGATTTTATTAAGCAGAGCCTCTAGCAGTCAGGCATAATTAACTTTAACTAGGTTAAATGTGTATGGAAAAAGTAGCAGTTGGAAATGGAGGTGCGTGTGCTTATGTGTTTTTGAAACATGAACAGAATACATGTTTTTGTGCCTGGGAGTATGAAATCAAAGGAGACAACATCAGTCGTTTTAGTAAATGCCCTAAAAAACTGTATATATTTACATACAAGTGACAAAGCCCTCTAGCTGCTGTAGGAGTTATATCTCTCTTTGAAGGGAGCAAAGAAGGTAAAGTGACATTGATAGAGCCACAAATTATGCAGATAATGGAGGTAGCGGTTGATGGATGGGTCGGCAAAATGTCAGTGTTTAAAATGTGACATGGCTGTTTATTTCTAGTTTCAAACCCAGAGAGAAAGTAGCTTTCTTCACCTGTGACTGCTGTGGTTTCCTAACCTAAAGACATTGGGGTTCGTTGTAACCATGAAGATTAAGGGCGCTTTACCTTAACAAGGTTTTTTTTAAAACAATAATGGCTCACTACTTTGTTTTCTAACAAACACTGTCATCCTTCAGTAGAGGCATTTCTAAGAAAACGAATTAAACCATTGCATGGTTTACTATACCATACAATGGTGTGAGTCTAAAATGCTCGAGATGAATTATGTTATGCACCGAAAGAAAATGCAAGTTCTTTGATAAAAAGATGAAAATATATTATCATCATGGATGGAGCTTGCGTCATTTGATCTGTGCTCATCATTCATCTTCTATCGAAAACGGCTATTTGAATTTGAAGTTGTGTTTTCATCTTAAAGTGGAGCCATTTCAAGAGCTTGTGCTTCTCATTTAGAAAGGGCAGATGAAATAACTGCAAGCAAATAAAAACACGTTTGTTATTTCTCTGTGACTGAATCCTGGTGGTGAATCACTCTGACTCTTAAGCCTATAAACTCGGCCAGTAAATTATTAAATAGTAGGTGATAAAATGTGAATAGTGCTGCCTAGGTGGCCATTACATATTTTTCCAGTGTTATGCCTCCATATAGGTCAACAGAAAACATTCAGTGACATTTATTTTGGGAACACCGCTAATAGAAAAAGTTGGTTGAGCTGCCAATGACTTAAGATTTAAAAAATGCATTCATACACTTTACATTATACATGATGTGTATTCTGAATATTTCATAACCATACCTGTACATTAAACCAGTTGAACTGAACAACATAACATAAACCCAATACATATGGTTTGTTTAATGATTACAATGTGCTTTGGCTGGACAATATACATTTATTTGAGGATCAGTAGACACAGTTTTATTTTTTCAGTGTTCAGAAAAGATCAGGATTCATCAAAAACAATAAACAAAACTATAAAGGAGTGCACATTCATCACATTTTTGAATGTTTGCTCTTGAAGCATTGTTTTAACGTCAATCTTCCAATGCGTTGTCACACATACACACACACACACACACACACACACACACACACACACACACACACACACACACACACACACACACACACACGCACTGCACATTGCACTGTTGATATCCAATCCAAGTGAATCAGCATCCAAGAGAGTCCTCTTCCTCCTCCTGTATGGAAACAAACCTGCGTCTGAGTGTCCCTGCTTGTTGCACTGGGAGTTGTCCAGTCAACTAAGCAGGGCTGAGCGCAGATCTTATATCGAGACAAAAAACGCTCAAGGACAAAAATGCCTCAGTGGGGATGATACATTCTCAAAGGATACCGCAAGCAAACATAAACCAAGTCTCCTTTTGTCAGATTCTAGCCAGCAGAATATATGACACTCCAAGGGACTACCAGTATGAAGAAGAGAAGAAGAATTGGGAGGGATGAAACCCTCTTTAATGGTCACACATGCAGAGCACACAGAGCAGAGCACACAGAACACAGTGACATTTGTTCTCTGCTTTTAACCCATCCTAGTACCAGGAGTCTGGTACTAGGAGCCTGGCACTGGTACTAGGAGCAGTGGTCAGCTATTGTACAGCGCCCGGGGAGCAATGGGAGTGAGGGGGGAAGGGGGATGTCCGGTGCCTTGCTCAAGGGCACCACAGCAGGGCAGGAGGTGAACTGGGACCATTCCAAGTAGAAGTCCACACTCCATATTTAGGTCTGGTCGGGGACTTGAACCGGCGACCCTACGGCTCACAGTAGTACTGACTGAGCCACTGCAGTGTGCAAATAAGCAAATGTTTATGACTGTTTATTTATTTTCAGTGTTTATTTGAGTGCTTACTTCAAAGCTTTTTTGTTCAGTCTTCAAACATTACAACATATACCGGCACATTATACAGTCATAGTGCTAAAAGCATTTAGACGCAGGTCCATTAATTATCCAATCTGTGCAAATTATTCCTAATGGCTTGACGATCAATTCAAGAGAAGTACTTCTACTGTTTCGTACATCTTTCAGGAAATAGCCCAGCTGGTGTCACTGTTAATCTTCTCCAGTTGTGTACGCTGAATAAATGCAGCTGGGAAATGAGGTAGCATGGCAACTGCTTATTTGATAGACCTCTAATGAATGAGCAGGGCAGGGTCACTTACATGGTAATGTATTCTGCAACTGAGATGAATAAATATCTGCCACTGTGCCCCTTCTTGTTCATTGTGTCGCAGGAGAATGCAGCTGTCATGAGGGTTATTCCCCTGATCCTGTCCATAAACACCTCTGTGTTCGCAGCGACTGGGGTCGAAACGAAGGGTAAGTCCCGTCTTCTCTGTCCACTCGTATCTAAAAACTCACTTGTACTTAGATGACCTTAAGGCTGATTTCACAGTCCCAGCTGCATTAGCTCACAATATTAACTTTACATGAAATTAGGGTGAATTGTTCGCCGTGATGGATTAGCTCTTTGGAGCAAGTTTCAAATCTGTGCAAGTTGATCCCCAGAGTATTACAGTTACATGGATGGAAACCAAGGTAGAAAATCAATCTTATAGTGTACTGTATGCTTTCAAACATGGTCACCACTATTGTGAAATATAAGCAATTTGCAGGTAATGGGCTAAAACATGCAAATGTGCCTGAACGGTCTCTTAACTTGAGGAAGGAGAATTTGAAGAAGAAATCAGAAATACAGAAAGAAGCAGAATGGAAGTCAGTGTGTATTGAAACAAAACAGCAGGGAAGGGCAGAGAAGGAAAACATAAACATAGACTGATTAATGGATAATAACACAAAATAAACACAGTATATATTGATATAGGGATATAAAAGTAAGTCAAATGAGTCCTCGCTGACTCTGACATTGTTTGACAATTAGCTGGCTTGCCAGTCATCGATTTGCTTAAAAGGTCCCACATTGTTTTGAACTCCACCTGTCATCTGCTGGATCCAGTCCAGTCACATGTCAAATATATATTAGCACTTTTGTAACAGCTGTTATCGTATCCATATGAAAAACGACATGTTGATCAAGAAATGTTGATTTTGACCTTGGTTATTTGTATATTGTATTATATACATTATGTTGAATACTACTTTATGAATACAACAAAACCATCCTTTTTTCCACTGACATATTACTTATCTAGATCTTTCGTTCATATTTTAATATTTGACTTGGCGTTCAATTATCTGTGTTCTCAGTCCTTGGCCGTACGCTGACCTGGAGAAGGGCTATGACCTAGTTACAGGGGAGCAGGCCCCAGAGAGGATCTTCAGGTGAGTCCTCTGCATCTCCAGAGTACACGACTTCTGCTGGCCATATGTGACAGTGATGATGGTGGTGTTATTGGCATGTTTGTGTGAGTGTTGGCATGTGTGTGACGGAGCATACAGATGAGCAGAGACACAGACACAGTTGGATGGACACACACAAAAACACCTCTTGCAACGATGAAGTCTTACCCATGGGCTTTTATGTGGGAAAATAGCCAAAGGGGCAGTCCTGGGTTGACTCCTTAAATGCTTTTACTGCCATTTTTGTTTCTCTTCTCATTCTTGATGGGGTCATTGTGTCATCCAACCTGCAAGCTCTAAGGAAGCATTCAGTAGCACTCTGGCGTTTTCATTTTCCTTTTAAATAGTTCTGATCAACATGACCTAGCTCATCACATACACTTTCAGCAAGCCTGTCTCCTGCACAATAATATTCACATATAACTAAACTGCATTCTTGATAATGTTTTGACAGAAATATATGTTCTCCTCTATTACAGTCACCATTTTAAACATTTGGTGAATGGTGATGTCAGGTTTATTGAGTAGAACATCATGGTTTGGTTTTAATGTAGTGCATTTGTAATGTTATTTACCATGTGGACATACATTAACAACTGAACATTCACATAGGACACATGAGCTACAGCATATGTAGTTTATTAACAATATGCTTTAAGTTTTCATATACATTTACTCATGACAAATAATCCCTATTTTAACACTAAAACCGCCAACATTCCATTACACCTAAAACCCCCTAACTCAACAGCGTCAGCACTTGCAGAGATGTCATTTTTTTAAACATTTCATTTGTTAGTTTTCATCATTTTCCTATTTACTAAGTAGGACTTAATACAAAAAAAACGATTTAAAATGCAGTAAATGGGGTTCTTTTTTAAATTGCTTCAGTTTCTAATCATAACAAATAAAAAAGGTCAGATTCATTTTTATAATAAATCAATAAATGGTGTGCGTTAGGCAGTTCTAGGTATAAATGCTCATATATTCTTTGTTCTCTTCATTCCCCACCCCCCACAATTCACTCGATGATAAATATACAGATTTTAAGAAAAGTAATGTGTGCGTTTTAGATTAACAGTTACACATATTTCAAAATACAGGGGTGAAAATGACCCCCTTAGTAGTTCTAGTGTTGAGCCAAATGTACTGGATGTGCAACGCAAGTCAGATAGTTTTGTGACTGTCATTTGTTGGGTTAGTTACTAAGTAAACACGGTAATGCATTGCCTTGTAACCCTAAACACACATGTAGCCTTTATATCCATACAGTTTCAAAGAATAACATGGCTGAACATTGATTCAGTTTTAAAGGACATGATTTGTATTTTGTCAAATAGGTTTTATCCTCACTACTCCTTTAGTCTGTATAAGTAAAGTAGGAAGTGTCCTTTGTCACACACATATTGCTGCTCCTCGCGTTGACCTTGCAGAGTTAGCTCTTCAACGTCTTTCCACTCTAGGAAATCAGGTAATCCACAATCTTTGTTAAGCACAAAAGCATATTCCAGCTCTCAGCTGTCCACTGCCAGTTAAAAGCGCTACAGTATGTTGGGGATGGGACTTGAATGGTGCCCGCCTACACACACTCACACAAAGGCAGAAACAAATCTACTGCTTGGCTGAGAGCAGTCAGACCGGAGTTTGTGAGAGAAGAAAGATGAAAGGAAAACTGCACACACACTCACACAGATAGCCGACACAATGAGTAAATGTGCAGCAACCGAGTGGAAACCCTCAATGTGTTCCTGTTGGAAGGGGTATATATCAGTGTGTAGGGGAGGATTGGAGAAAAGGCTGCACTGCTCTTCAGCGTGACAGTGTTAGAGTCACTCCTAAGAGAGATTGGTTTAACAGATGGCGATATTTGTGGGAAACCAGTGATGTCTCTCACCTCTTTCTTGATGCTAGGAGCAATGAGAAAATGAACATCTTGTGATTTGAAGAATCGCTTGGATAAAGATGTAATGGAGACAGTTTCTTCATTTAAATATTAATAAACAACATGTTGAAGTTTGAGGTCTGGAGTGTAGTGCATTAAACATGATCTGATCATGATGTACTGGCAGTTGCGTTTTTGGACGTTTTTAAATGCTGAGGTTTAGCAGTCCAGAAAACAGGATGTTCCGGTAATAAGTTCACACCAAAGCATGTTTACAGGATGAAAGTAAGCAATACTTAACTGTAGATTACCGTATACATGACTTAATAGGAAAATATGCTCTTTCTAATATGGGATCTATCAAGTTTATATTTGATATTGCAGAAGGCCTGAGGGTGCCACTTGTTTTTTCTACTTTGAAGTCTTCTTTCAGTGATCAGCATTTCATTACAACCCTTGGTGTGTGCTACCTTTTTGCATTTTATACCAATTATATTGGCTTAAAATTAAGGTGTTATATTCTAAGCTTTTGCAAGCATGGCCATTAAAGCTTTGTTTCTAGACTTCTAGGAATTTGTGATATTGCCACACACCTGCTCAGATTAAAAGCCCATGATGCAAAGCACACCCATGTTCTGTGCTATTTTTGAGGCCAGGTGTTGCTATTCCCAAGTGACAAGTCTCGGCCCCCCAGGGCGTCCTCCTGAGGATTTTAATCTTCACTCGTGAGGAACTTATCTGGCTGATCCACATTATTTTCAAACCACCCTGAACCATGGTCACACATGTTGCAAAAAGTGTTATGTGCCATAGCACATTATAATTATAGACAGGACAATTGATTTTTCAAATTAGCAATAAAAAAGCCAGCTCACCACAGCTACTTCTAATTTATTCTTTCAGTTTCCATCAGTGTGGATGGACAACATGTGAATAACAATTGAACGTATTGCCACGCAGTATTGCCAGCAATTATTCAGTAGTGAAAACGTTCCCTTGACTGTAATATAACTGTGTAAGATGGGTGTTTAATGAACTAAAACATTTGTTGCATGTACAGTGACTGTATTACCCTGAATGTATAAAACTACACAAGTATGCCAACAATAATATATATATATATATTGCTGTCTTCCTATCAAGCCCTAATCAAACATGTACTATTTTATTCCTGCGCATTCCTGCATATCTTTGCATGCTGAAGATGCATTCACATGACATGTGATTTTCTCTTTGCTCAGCGCGAGGTGGGGCGCAAAGCCTTGCGTTCAGAACAGCCAGTTAGATGTGTTTATATGGTTATCTCATCTGATGGCTTGCCCCACCTTATGCAGCTGTTGTCTGATTAGTTGGGCCTTGAAAGGTCAGTGGTACCTACGTCAAAGATCAGCACAAGGCGACAATTTTGAGTGCTGATTGACACAGTAGGGCGGCACCACTCTTTCCATAGAAATACAACGTCAGCGTAGAGCCATTTTTCCGCTTCTCATGTGAATGCAGCTCTATATATGTACAAACAACTATGTGAGTAATAACAAAATGTTCAAAAGTGGCAGTAGTTTGATTGACATTTATGTTTTCTCCTGGTTGCCAACACAGATCATTCTACAGTATGGGCCAAGGGCTGTGGCTGCCAGTCAGCAAGAGCTTTGTGGTGCCACCAGTGGAGCTGTCAATCAACCCCATCGCCAGCTGTAAGACAGACGTGCTGGTTACTGAAGACCCAGGAGAGGTCAGGTCAGTCTGACTCAGCTCACAACTCCACACTTGTGTTGAACAGGGAAGTGCTCTGTGGTTCAAATGAACTATTCTTTGTGTTTCTCTTTTACATGTAACATATATAAATGTCACAGGCTTCATCATGTGTGGCTGCTTTATAACCGACTGTACTTTTATGACAGCCAAACACTTCAAATGTTGGTCTATTTGACATTGAAAACGTTGAACAATTATAAATAATATAAGATTAGCATACTGTATGTACACGCTATGACAGGTTGGAGCCTAATACTCAACTTCATAAGACTTGACATGAAATAACATGCAAATTAACCTTTAACTATGTATTTAAAATATAATAGGGTTTCAAAGGTAGAGGGCTAAAGTGACAGGCAAAGCAGCAGTACAAACACTTTTTTGACTGTGCACATAGAGATCTAAAAAATGGAATCCAAACAGGCAAGAAGTGTCAACAAGGTTATTATGCATTTGGCAATCCCAAAGTGCAATAACAAAAATGTGGCAACAACAAAATGGTGTTTTTCTCATCCAACCAGCCAGTACAAGCTGGCATGCATCAGTGCAGCTGAATATCACAAAGCACGTCAGAGCATCAGCTGCAGACTGAAACAATCACCACTGGATCCAACTGACACCAGCCTGGGAAGTGATATTTGATTTGAAAACCCCTATTGTCTGCCTTTCCTGCATACACAAATGTTCCACTCTGTACATCATTTAAATATAAATAATACTATTGTTATACAGGAGTACAGTTCAATATATGCCTGTGCATCACTGAACTCATTGCTTTACCTATAAAATAATGTTACATTTTTTTTTTGCAAATATTTGTATTATGTTTCATGCAAACATATCAACTTCAATACGGTAAATGTGTTAAAAACGAATTACATATATGCCTACACCTTATCCCCCAACCCCCACCTTATGTTCATTTATTGATAATGACGAAGTGATGATTGTTTTAAAGCAAAAATATTTTATTGGTATTTGATATTTTGTATAAGACTTTAATTTAGACCAACAAATTAAAAAATAAATGGAATTCAGCAGTAAAAGTACAGCATTGGTTGCTCCATTAGCCACATGTCTGTAACTGTTTCAATATTGTACAACATATGTATTTGTTTTAATTGCCTCTAAAGTGACATTAACTTAAATTAAACTAAGGCTTTTCCAGTGGTGCCCAACATGGAGACCAAATAGTGAAAAATTATTCTGGATATAAACCCTTACCATAGATGTAAATTCAGCAAACAAGGCAAAGCAAACTCTGACATGTAGAGCTGTAAACAAATGATGTAAACAATTAGTATTCAATTCGTTATCATGGAAAATAGTTCAGGTCAGACTTCATTTAAACCGTCCATGTATACATTTCACATAAGGTCAGAGGTCAGGAACAAAGCCCTTTCCCGGTTTTTATTTGTGTTGTCTTAGACCTACAGTATGTTGTACTCTTGTTTGGAAAGCATACTTAATTACACAAAGTAGAGGTTCATGTTATTTAATTTATTTATTCATTTTTCAAGCATTGCGGCTTGACTCAGTGACCAGTGCATTGAGCCTGCTGTGACTGCCAGATGGAATCACTGATCTCTGGTCAGCAGCTTCTCACTGTGAGCATGCCCATCCAGGATAATAAATGCATTTGTCTTGCCATTATTCTTTGAATTATATTTCCTCTTGACAATATGTCCTTTTTCGAAAACATTTTAGCAACAAAACAGTTGAGTGACTGTCCACAAACCATGTTAGATAATGCTGCCTTCATGAGTACAGATGATTAGTGAGGAAAATGTCCCTTTACCTTAAAATTGCCATTAAATGAATATGTGGAGAGTACAGGGACTCATCCTGGATCTGGATTAATACTGAGCAGAACCCAGAGGTGTCACGCTCAGTGGGGGATGGATGATCCCCGCTAAATGTCACTTAAAGTTTGCCGGAAGCACTCCACGGACTCTGCAATGACAACTTCTTCTGGTAGCAAGTTCCACTCTCTGATTGTTCTCGGAAAGAAAGAGTATTTTAAGCCTCTTACACACCAAACTGACACCAAATGTCGGCTCACGTCGCCTCACGTCTCTGCGTCTTGGCCATGTTTCGCACTGGAACACACCGCAAAGACGTTTCAGCCGACGGCCAAGTTGCACGTACGAACAGTGCATGCGTGAGTGGCAATAACTCTCCTTACCAGCAGGTGTCGGTAGTGTATATTGGTCATCCAAAAGAGGCAACAACCGGAAGACAGACTGCGTGATACACCGAGAGAAGAAGAACAGACTGCGTGATATAAACAAACAACAAATAGCGTGTGCGTTCCATTTTCACTCTACAGCGAGAAGCTCATGGGGCTTTCCCGAACCTGTGTCGAGAGCTGGAGTTAAATGAAATCTCAGATTTGCCTTCTTAATAGTTTGTTTGGGTCCCTCACTTCCGTTTCACTTCTCATGCACTGATTCGCTAAGCTGAACAGCCAATCAGAGTGATTTCTATGGCCGACGGCCCCCTGATTCAACATGTCAAATCGGTGGCGGAAGGTGTCGGCACGGCCCGAAAATAAACGACGGTGCAGTACACACCAATCTGAGTAGGGCGACACGACGCCCATCGACGGCCCGATATCTATCGACATCTATCGACACCGATAATCGGCTCGGTGTGTAAGAGGCTTAAAAGTTCTCTTGAAGTTCAAACAGTTGGCTTTGCGGGTTGCACTTCTAACTGGCTCTAGGTACAATGGCTGAGATGTTATGGACAATCTTGAAGAAGAGAACCAAACGAGCCAATCGCCGCCTTTCACTCAATTCCACCCAGTTCAACCGCTTGAGCATTTCTGTGACACTGCTGTCCCATTCATAATCTCCAAAAATGAATCTTGCACCTCTTCTTTGTACTGATTCCAGGGCATCACTGTATTTATCAGTGTATTCGACAACTTGACATTGCAGACAGCTTTTAACACAAAATGTCTTGTCTCCTCAGCATGTCAGAAGCTGTTACTGTGTAATAATGTACATGCCAAAAATATGACAGTTAGCCACTTCAAACAGACCATGCTCGCTTTACCTGACTGGAAGTATCATCAGAATCTTCACTGCACTCTGTTATGGAGGAATGGCCAGGTTTTTTTAATATTCTATTTTATCTTAGCTATTTTGTCGGCTCCTTACAATTATATTTTCATGTTTTGTAAAAAGCATTTGAATGTGCCCTGCTGCCTTGCTTTGGTTGTTTTTTGACTCTACAAATTAAATAAAGAGAAAGCTCAAATGACAGCCCTCACTGATAACTGACTTTCAATTAAGTGTCACATAAATGGTTGTTGCAAACTTGATCCACTATCCAAACTTTTAACAGGCATTATTAAATTGCCTCAGGGGCACAGAACTCCAGAGGCACTTGTAAACATCTGCAAACTCTGACGTAAATGGGATTGGGGTACGGCTCTCGATTAATTAGCTAAGGTATTTCACTTACTTAGAAAAAGGGTTGTGATCAGTGATGTTGAGCTAAAAAACCAGGACACGTTTTGTAGCAACATCCGTTTGTAGACATGCCTTTAATACATGAGCAGGATGTCGCTGATCAGATTCAGAATATATAGTAATAGATCATTTTTAGATCGAAGCTTGAGCGGTTCTTTCAATGCAATTATTTCCTTTGTACATTTTCTTTTTATTGACTGTCACTCAAGTGCCACCGTTATTTCAGGATGAATAGACTTGCTGGTTTACGTCACAAACACAGGTGCATATTGAGCACTGCAGTATTGAGCAAGAACTTAGCTTTTGTCTGCTTTGCGGCAGCTACATTTGAGAAAACAATTTTAGCCATTCATCAGTGGAAGGACGTGCCCTTCATTAAAGTGGCGAGCATGTCTGACGAGCAGTATCTTTTAGAATACACTTTGTCTGCCTCAATGTACAATATGAGCTCCATTTAGTGATTAGGCATTTCAAATATATTTGTGTTAATATTGGGAACTTAGGTATTACATCTGACTCTTCATGGTAACAGGACTTATGACATATTCACACCATTACAACAAATGAGAAGAATGTCATGTTTCTTTGTTGCTTAACTGACTTGAGCTTTTGAGAGATAAAACATTATTTAACAACATCAAACCAGGATAAAAATAGAACTCATTACAATTAGAAGAAATGCAGATTGTATGACTGATTTAAAAGCTGGTTTTAATTGGAATAATAAGTTCATGATTTGTATTTGCTTGATGATACTTTTATGTAACATAGGATCCTTCAGATTGTCATGAATAATGCAGGCATCTCATTACCCAGCAGTTTTGTGGAACAAAGTATTTTTTATGGAGTTTCTCGCTAATGCACTTTCCTAAAGTGTTTATGCAGACATTGACACAATCAGTCAGTCTTAATAGACATGTTTGTGCGAGAAATGGTGAGATGCACTGTAGCGGTGGCACTTAACAGGATGCATCCCAGCTTCATTGGCTAGAATCCAATGGAACGTATTGTATCTAAAAAAGTGAGTGTCAAGGTAAGTGTTAGCTTAACCAAGCTGAGTTTGTAAGTGGATATGTTTTTTTCTGTTTTTATCAACATCAACAGACCTTGAATAATTTAGACTACACTAAGCACCAATGTACACAGTATGTTTAGATGTTTATCAGGTACATGGTGTATTTTCAAAGAAAAGTGCCTCTTTATGGCAGCACACACTATTTTTAAGTATTCTGTAAGTCCAGTATTATTTGTCCAGTGTAGTAAAATAAAATAGTATGTGCTTTTGCTGCTTAAAGCTTTGAAAATGCACTTTTGGTTAGTCTCTGGATAATTCCACAGACCTTGCTTTTTGCCGTTTTCAATTAGAACTTTTTTTTCAATTGAAATTCCTTTAAAAATGTTTCCATTTGTTTTGCAGCTATTCAATCACAGCATTCGTATAAAGATTGTTTATTTTTTTATATTTATGCACATTTTGAAACAGAGTGGCAGTGCTTTGTCAGA